TATAAGCATTGTACATTGTTTCGAGGTGTACATAACGGAGAAAATTGGCGTCAACATATTACAATTATCGATATATAGGTACATCATTGGCGTCAACATATTACAATTATCGATATATAGGTACATCATCGCTGGGAATGTAGTAAACACCAAAATAAATAAATGAACATTGTGGAGGATAATATAATCATTATATTAACATACCTATAAGTACGTTGTGGGGAAAATTGTAGACATCAGTTTATCAATAAAGAAATATTATGGGGAATACTGGAGACAGCAAGTACGTATATATCTACATACACGTGTAAATACCGGGCGAAAACCAAACATCAGTATTTCAGAGATTCTGCCACGTTCATAGATCAATAGAGAATTTAATTAGAATATTGGGAGCTAGACAACTGACGGTCAGAGACTCAAAATCAAATGTTGTTGGCGTAACTATGATCCGTAGGATGGTTTTAACTATATTGTTACGCTATAAATATTACTTCTTTAAACAGACTGTAATGCCAAGTATCGTTCATTCAATCTCTAATTTTCGAGTCGGTGTGGACATCTTGTAGCCTACGAGAGGGTAAATAAGTTCAAAGTATTTTATTTGTATCATGTCTGATTTAATTCTGAGTTCAGCAGTTGATATAAACTTTCGTCACATATTTCCAGATGACGACCAGTGATACTCTAGAAGGATGTTTGTATATGCAGTAATACTGAGTTGTGCTATGAATCAATAGCTGATTACCGAGAAGTCTACTGTCCATTTACCCATACAAAATAAAACGTCTAGACTCATTCTCCTATATCATATTTAGTAGAGAAGACTCATCAGTTTATTTTTCATGAAGCTGATACTGCGACGCAGTGTTCTTCGTCTGTCTGTGTGTCATTCATCTCTTTCTTTGTTCTTCATTTGTGGTCCGTTCTTCTGTTCATTACATCACAGATATTAGTCAAGAACGTCTGCATGGAATTGATAAAATTTGGCATAAAACATCATTTCGTGAAGGGAATTTTGTATTAATCACTATCCATTAATTCAAAGTTTAGGAAATCTTTATTTCACAATTGCTGACGTAGGAGTTCGTATCCATGAGACTCCTATAGGCACATTGACAAAGACTATGCAAAGCCTGCATATTTCCTAACTTCTGTGAACTTAGAATGTCATTATTATCAACCGAAGACCATTTACTCTGGACTGGAATACTAAAAACTGATAAATATTCCGGAGTAGATATCTAGGATTAACTCGGGAACATAACGGGAATAGACAATGTACAATCAGAATTTATAGACTTTTGTAAAATTGCGTTTATAGACTAATATTCGAAAAAGGATATGCACGTGATTGATGTAAAATAATATTCGTGTACATGTAACTCAAGCTGATCAGTAATTATTGATGCGTACAATAATGATTTTTGGGTCATTTGATTGTACAGACTAATACATGGAGGCTAGCAATATCTTTGGCCGTATATTGACCTCAAGCGCCATATGAAATGACCAATCACTATCAAATGGCCACTGGCAGCTTTGACTGGAAAGGGAGTTCCACTTTGTCACTTTGTATTTATGATATAAGGGAGAAATATCGCCTACTACCGAATGTTATCAGCATGTCTATCCATGCTTTAGTATGCAAGTGATTCGAGTTACATTTCGGGTGTGTGACACTAAGTACTCTGTGGTCATTTAATTTGCACATCTTAAACATTAAAATTAGCATGTTCGGCTCAATGTTTGAACACCTATTTGTTTACACATTTGTACAGGTATTTACGCTTCAGTTCCATGTAGTTGGTCTGTGTGACTCTGCGTAACACTGCATTTCTGCGCCCAATCATATCCTGTTTCTAGAGTAAATTGTTAATCTATTTCTTGAGTAAGTTGTATATGTACACAGATCTATGTAGTTGATAAGTGTATAGTGAGCCTGTTTTAATGTTGATATCGATTTTTCGATATAATATTGTTTTCATACGGAAACTGTTGATTAAGTAGAACCGTTGGTGATGCTGTTTTTGCCACATCAGAAGGAGCTATCAAACACCCTGACGCGCATATACCTACGTGTATTAGATGAATGATATATTGAAACTGTGCACTATACGAACTCATGGCCTTGATTAACACTGGAACACATATCTATTAATAATCATCTGTTGTATTTACATAACAAATGACTCGCAAATCAATCAACTTGTGTTATTGTGATGCTATAACATATTATATGTATATTTCGTATACAAATTCTGTGATTAACGTTGTAGTTGTATTGGGTCACAAAATTCTACACGTGTTAAATAGATATGTACTAGGTAACTAAGAATAGTAAATCTGTAAGTTATTACTGCTTGGCACGTGTATATGTTTTCTGTTGTTTTACTTAGTGCATGTTCTTGGCTCACTCACATCGGAAATCAAACAAAAAACGGGAAAAAAACGACATTGGATATGCTTCAATACACAGAGGCGTTTATACATATACGCTCGGGTATAATTACGACAGGGAATTTAGATTTGAAACATTCGGATCAATAACATTACTGTATAAGATACGTTGTGTTGATACATTGATATTTTTTGATACAACGTGTCACAACTGATGACGGAAGACAATTTTTGGACTCGAGCTGCCTCCGGGCCAAGAACTCACGATCTACGGCACCATATCACCTAGCCAAACATTCTATAACGGGATACCCGTTACAACACCATTTTATCGCCAAAAGAAGATATTTGGAAGCTGTAATGATAAAGAGCTTTAAAATAGTATATACATTTATAATTCGACAGATCAGACCTTACATATACATAATGAATGTTGATCGATCGATATGCTTTCAAGGGCAGGTTGCCATCTTGTCTATACTCGTAAGAAATTATTTTATTTTTCATTTCACATGTAATCCAAAGGAGAAGAGTTCTGTTGTATGGTCAGATGGCACAATCGTTACCCACTCTCCTTTTACACAGGCAGCTGATGTTTCGTACGTAGTTGGGGGGAGGGGGGAGGGCACCTGTTTTATTATGCGAGTTTTTTCCCAGGTTTAACATCAACGATATTTTTTTATAGATATTAGAAGTTTGATGTTGTTCACAATATGCCAATGTTAACCGATGTTTAACGTTAACCTTGTCCTGCTTTGGGAACAAGATAGAATTTAAATAAATAACATATGTTCGTTAAATAAAACGGAAGTGTGGATACTCCAGTGCAATTTTGCGCCTCATCTAAATCTGGTCTGGAAGATGTTGACAAGTTGTAGCTTGCAGAGAGATAATCTAGATAATTATAAAAGAAATCACGGAACTATTTAAAAGTCTTATTACGATCTACAACGTAGAACTTGGTGAGTTCCCACAGACCCGACTTTAGAATGAAACATGTGGCTATGTATACTAATTAAACTTTCATGTCAAGTTATATTTGGTCTTGACTAATAAAAGGACCTTCCCTCGGGACATAATTCCAGGCTCATATATCCACATGACATCATTTTGTTTTATAAATATTTAACAACTTTAAAGCAAGCTATTGATGATAATTCTCTTTGTGTTGTAATGGAAAAGCTGTGATCTATTAGTAAAGCGCTAAACAAAGTCTGCTTTAGATCTACACGTTATGGTACATATACGTATGTGTAAAAATCCTTACTCTGTAGTATTTTCTAGGAATACATTTACTTTGTAGTTGACACAGGACTATCGATTATATTAGATAATCATCGCAATCATGATTGGGTTCAGCCGATATCACTATAAACGTTCTTAACTTTTTTTCTTTTTTGTTTGTTTTGTAAATTAACGTAATGATGAAATAGCAGGTACACAAAAATAGTTATAACTATCATGCTGTAATTGTATCATGTATTTGTTTGCAATATGAATGATGATTTAACTGGTGCCATTGAGTTTATACAAAAGGATGTTGTATTGTCTGGAGAGTTTCTATAAAATCCAGGTGTTGTACAGAAGTCTGTGGGTGATCACTAATCTTATCTTACCTATCCTATGTCTAGATTCTGAAAATGTGTATTTAGAACATAAATATACGATTTATTTTTAGACTCCTTAAATCTCATTACGGACCTGTTTTGAATACAGGATATCTGAAAATCATTTGATCTTTATAAATAAAATTGGATAAACTTCAAGTCTGGCAAACGTTGCCAGCTGGTGAGTGTATTGAAGCATATAAAACGAAACGCTAGGGATTTCTATTCCAGTTTCTGATACGGAAGGACATGTGCATCTAAGAAAAAATATTTCTTTATCGCCGGCAAGGCTTTGGATCAAAAGATGGCTTATTATGAAATAAGACACTAAATTTATCAAATATTTCAATATGCGATGGTCGATACGTTATCTATGAAATAACAGGAAAACGGCATGTTCTTAAAAGAAATAAACTTGTTCAAATTGGGCGTAACTGGTTATATCGCAAACATATTACATATGAAAGCCTTTGTTCTTTAGATGTAAAATCAAATGAAGTCTTTTCTGAGCTTGTCCAGAATTCTTTATTGATGGCAAAATATTTTACTCAGATACAGGACAATATAAAGTGTCATTTGTCATTGTAAGGCCATTGCTATGCTTTGCATTTGTAAACTTATATTATAATGTTTATGCTAATGGAATTTCGGTGAGGTATTTATTAGGCACATGTCATGTTACATCAGACTTGAATCAGATGTGGAAGCGAAACTTACATGCAGACTGCAGAGAGACTAAAAACAGGAAAGAGGGCTTTATATTATCGTCTCCAAAGACAAAGAGGACAAACTGTCACGAATTTATCTTAGCTCTATAATGTCTCACAAAATATTAGGAAAGATCCAGATTTTTTATTGTCCATTGTTGACTATGAAAGAAATAAGTAATTTCAGTTGAATTCGCTTTATTTAAGGGGCAAACGTGATTTTCACATTTTTTTGATTAAAGGAAATTTATTGAAGTATAATTTTGTTTTTCTTTTTTCTTTTCAGGAAGCCAGCATGACGAATAACTCATCAATATATTACGACGTTTCGACGTTCTTTCCGTCACTGTTGAACCACACGGAGACCCCTGGAGATAATGGGACTCCCCCCAGCTCGGTGTGGGAAATATACAAACAACATTGTCCTGAGGCCACCATGATTGACAAATATCTTACGCCGTATGTTTACGTTGTCGGTTTCCCAGGAAATATTCTTGCTTTGGTGATCTGGCTTCAGAAAAGGATGCGAAACTCGTCCGGATATTATCTGGCTGCTCTGGCGTTGGCGGATTTAGTTTTTCTATTATTGCAGATAGTGTATGAACTAAATGAGAAATGGGGTATTCGATGTTTGGACGTGGAATTCGTGTGTGAATTTTATCCCATCATATTCTTAACATCACAATATCTATCGCCATTGTTGGTATTAGCTTTTACAGTGGAAAGGTACATTTCAATATGCCATCCTTTTTCTAGAGAGAAATTCTGCACGACGAAAAGGGCAAAGATTGTCATTGCATGTCTCTTTTCTTTTTCGTTTCTTATAAACGGAATACAAGGTTATTTTTGGCACTATGACAGTGGAGGACGCTGCAGCCTAAGAGCAGAAGTAGTGAGAAATCATGAATCCTCATTTTGGTCTATTTGGACCTGGTGTGTTGAGGCACTCGTGTTTTTCCTTGTTCCTATTCTCATTCTTGTCTTCAATATCCTCGTAATCGCGGAGGCGAAACGACTGTCGAAGTTTGAGAAGAACCAACTACAATCACGGACTACCAAGAACTCTGCCACAACTGTCATGTTGCTCGCTGTGTCATTTTACCAAATATTCACCACTTTGCCTGTCACAATTGTTGTGACTTTGTATTATAGTTTCCCTATTGGGGACCCAGCGAACTTGAATCCCCCTGATTCTATTTGGCAAAGACATTTCGACTATGTGTATATCAAGACAATAATCGAAGAGATCGGATTAACTCATTATGCTTGTAACTTCTACATTTACTGTGTAACCGGAAAGGTGTTTAGACAAGAGTTCAAAAGACTGTGGAGGTCGCTTGTGTGTCTCAAAATGAAATCGGCATTACCAAATTGGACCACAGAATACACAAGTCTGCGGGGTAGTTTGCGTAATAACCCAAAAAACCTAACAGTGCGCATGTCCAATGGTCACGCCAATGGACACAGCACAACGAGCAGTACGAACGGCGTCCAACCGATGCTTTCTGAACCAACGGAAACAACATTGTGAACTATGACACGATAAACTATTTGTGCGTATTTTCTAATATCAATAATAATGTTCTAACATTGTCTTAAGATATCATGTGACGTCATTCGTGTTTAATGAAAATATAATGAGTACATGTTACAAGATATAAATATACACATATATGTACATGCTGTGGTCACCCTTCATGATATTTAAACAGATAGATTGCAGTAATGTTTACCAGATATTCCAGAATGAAAATAACTTTTATTGAAGTTGGAAGTATGTATATCAGTTGGAATTCCAGCCACAATATTAACGGTTATCTTTAGTTTAAATTACATTTAAGGAAGTAAAACATAAACAAATGAAAATAGATTTTATACATGTCAACGTGTTCAAAATATTTCAATACATAAAAAAAAGAAATTGGTAAAGTCAATTCAAACTTTTAAAAGAATGGACGCCCTATAGTCATTTTTTTAGGAAATTTTAACATCAACTTCTTTTTCTGAAAATTACCGTTTGAAAAAATCTGAAGTGTTAAATAAACTTCGTATTCACGGATAATAATGTAGTGATACGTTCTCATTTCTCTGTTGTTAAGTTTTTTCCTCACAAATTATTCGCATTTGGTAAATGCCAGATGCAGAAACCAAGGTTCGTGGAGATGTTTTTTTGTTATATATTTATTCATCAAGTAATCGTCAATGTGACAAGAAAATTTTAATTATTTTTAGAAGAAAAAAAAAAATAAATAAATAAAATACAAAGAGGTTGGTGTCTTTCATAATATAGTGATACATTAAATCGTGAAATATATTTTATTTTTTCCATAGTTCTTTTATTCCCACTCAAAGTTTAATATATTTCATACAAATCAAAAGATAAAACGTACATAATTCCTGGAATTCATCATACGTCATAGTTTATAAAGGATGTTCATTTGAAAGTCATTGACTAGACAGGTTAAATAATGGATGCTAGATATTAACTCATGTTTTTTTTCTTAATATCTGTATTCATTTTCTATCGTGATATTAAGACATCGTATCTTTTAAGAATATGTCCATTTTTCTTTCGTCTTAAATATTCCAAACGATTTCATTATCGTTTTGTTTTGTCATTTGATATTGTGTACGAATTTTATCTGCTTGGCAAAATCATTGTTAGAGTCCAACGTGCGCTAGTATTGATGTTCATGGCCGAATTTTCCGTATTTGATAATTGTGTAACATAAAACATATAAACTAAATGTGTATGATTGAAATATATTTTGTAACATCCTGATAAACCGTACATGTGTATATTCCATGTGATTAGAAGAAAAAAATTCTTTTGAATCAGATTTTAAATCTAATTCCTAGTTATAATGAACATTTGTTGTGAGAACGATGCTTACTTCACTGCTAATGCTTTTCTGTTTCTATCTCCTAAATTTCCGTTCAAACTGTAGAGGAAACGGTCCCTGTTAATCGTAGTTATAACAGAAACGATCCCAAAGAGTTCCTGGGTGAAAAATCTATTTTTTTTACTGATAATTGGCATCACATGTATATGTTGAAAGCTTCTGATTCATTTGACATTTAATATCTATTTAAAAAGCTTGACCATTTGATATTGACGGTCGATAATCCAACAATAATGTGTATATACAGTATATGCATGTTTACTGGATCCAAAGTTAAGATCAAGAAACTGTCTCGATGACAATTATCTTACTATTGCTTAACAAATACAGAGGTCATCATTTCATTTCAGTTAGGTTTGCAATCAAAGTGACTGTTAATTGAAACATCGTTTAAACTGGCTGTTGCTGTTAAATACATGATGATTGGATGCATATAAAAGCTAATTTGAATAGTAAGGTTACTTCCCTTTTTGCCTTTTTTCCGTTACTGATTTCCTGATACTGTATACCAACATCGACTGGTATATCGCATGCTAAAACTTTGGAATTCTTTTCAGACGGTTTTACTTTAACATATGTTTATCAAATGTTTACTACATAATATAGTACTACATCAATATCAGCGTAGAAAGCTCACCGGTGATTTTCAGTAGGTGCTTCAGAATTCTAGAATGGTTTCAAAAACATTGTGTATTTACATTGTGTCAAACTGTGTATCGTTACCTGAAAGTTATAGTGATTTTCAAGTGCCTTTTATCTTAGTCTTAAAACAAATGTGGAACTCAACCATATCCTACCGACGCTACATATTCTACAAAACATTTGATAGTATTTGTCTTTCACATTCAGTTCACATAATGAGAAAAAAACTCTTTAAAGATAAATATCTGCTTCGAACAATAATGATAAAAAAATAGAATGTCTTTATAATTATCAGGTATTTTAAAAGGTGTATCTGTACAAACAGACAATATTCCTTCTTAAATTCTAGAGCTGTTAAGTTGAACTTACATATAAATAACAGGAATTATACGCAAAACAGAAAAGCAAGCAATGCATTATTAATTTGCTACAACATTTCAGTTTGCTCGGCATAATTTTTTCAAGAAAGCTTATGGACCTATATATTGAAAATGTATGTCAAAAAAGGCATGTTTTGTTATTAGTATATTGGTCCAGGTGTTCAGATGTTCAGATAAAGGCAGTTCTGTTTTACAGGATATTTTTAATCGGGAGTGTTAAAGTTTGCAAAATGATATTATATAATTTACGTGCTACCAGAATAATTCCACTTGAAGATTCGAAAGAACACACCAATACAAATGTAATAAGTGTTTTTTTCAAATGAAAGCCGATAAGCCACACTTATTTAAAAGATTCATACTTTCAATATATAAAGGGGTTTGTTAAATATTGATTTATAACTAAATAACTCGCCAGTTTAGTATGTTTTAAACAAGAATTCGCCAAAAGTCTGTAATATCTCTAACGCTGAATTATATACAAATAAACACAAGCATGCGTATTTGTAATTTTAGAAATATGCCATATTGCAAATTAATCATTCTCCTAAATATGGTAATAAATCTATATCTGCTTTATGTCAATTATTTGCGTATTCACACCAAACTATACATAGCTCGCAAAAATGTGCCTCGTTTTCTGTAAGTAAGAAGTGATCTGTACATATAGCAACGCTCTGTACATGCACCGTAATTTATTACGTTATGGAGTTAATCGTTGATGAATGTTTTCCTCGCCCTATATACACGGAGGAAAATTACTAATATCCATCTAATAATTGTACTTACCTGTGTATGCATTTGTTCATCAGTTACAGACTATATAAAATAACTATTAACTTTGTGAGTATGGATTTGTTATTTGTTGGTAGCTCATCAATAAAACAAATTACTAAATTTGTTCACATTGAGAATAGTACATTGTTGAAAAATATGTCACATTAAACGCTTGCAGTTTCATATCTTATTTATCATTCTTAATAGAAGAATCATTTCGGGCCAACGGTATCTACAACTTGAAGAGACTGTCTGATGTTCGTTTGATTCTAAAGTTCTCAATTAATCAGATTTTGTCAAATAGTAAATGCATACTTTTATCTAAAAAAGAAAAGGAAATTTTAATTTACTGACAGCAATTACGTGTAAATGGAAAGATTATATTTTCATTTCTACTGGAATGCAGTCGTATACTTATATACAGGCGCGCATCGGAATATATAATTATATATATAGTCAATTTGACACCACCTTCAATTACATTACCAATATAGGTTATAAACAGGTTCTCGAAACAAGATACATGCTAGTGTTATATTTCACATAATACAAACCAATGTATACAAGTCTATCCGGGGCTCTCAAATTCATGTATGGAAAAAACACGGAAGTCTATCCAGTTTCAACATGTTGGCCCAAGTATGAATCACTCGTATTTACATTTGAAAGTACAAATAAAAAGAGGTAAAATTAAGGTATATGTCATAACCTTATGCAATATTTACCAAGGGAAAATGCTAAATTAGGGGTTTTCCTGAAGTTTAGGACTGCAGCATGATGTGTGTTGTAGTGAGGGCAAGGTTATATTGCATCTAAAGCTAAATGTAATTGTTTCACTTATCACATTACAGACATGTATGAATTATAACAATATCATTCGATGTCGATTTAAAAAAAATTCTCTTTCACACAAACTTCTTTCACAGTTTCACCACTGTGCTTGCAAACATCCATCTTCATATAAATTAGAAAAACATTATCCAGTTTATACTTTTTATCAATGCATACTAAATTAACTCAAACGTTTCTACAAATACTTCTTTCTTTTATCACTTTCGCAAGCAGTTTATCTCTCTCCCCAGTTTCGTTTGCATCTCCTTCATCTTTTGGATTTCTTAGCATTTATGCCTATTGAACAAATTCGAGGAAAATATTACAATATACCATTACATGATTAAATATGTTTATCGTCTTACAACATAAACAAGAAATCATGATGTATAAATATTCATTACATATTCTGTAGTATAGTAATAATGTTCATTATGAATATATATTTCAATTGATTATCTTATGTTTGTCGAGTACGAATATGAAAGAACAGTGTCGTTAAATAGGATTTGGTGAAGAGAAAATAGCATGTAGATGGACTGGAGTTTTCTTCGGGTAATGTTAGTGTTGTACTTGTGAATTTCCCCTAATGGTTTGGTTCTGTTGATGTTTGAAAAGTTCTACTGCAGATTTTATAAGTAGTTTAAAAATAGATTTGACAATGTACGATATTTGTGCTCAATTAGCGTTAGCAAATTTATTAAAGCAAATGTTTCGATGAAAAAAAGTAAACATATTTTGCAACCATCGTTAAAAGACGACTGACAAATTGTTGTAGTGTTGAATAAATGCTGGCGGGAGACGTTTTAAAGATTTAAAAAAATCAAAATAATGAAATTACTATCAGTTTTTTTAATGTTTTCAATCAACATCAAGCCCGGATTTTCAATTTGCAAGAATCGATTGAGATTAAAGCAATATAACATTATGTCTGTCGTTCTCTCCAATGCCGAGTCCCTTTAATCTTGTTTCAGTTACTTTTTTTTCGATAAGTAACTGTAATGGGTGTTATGTGAATT